GCAGAACAGAAAGAGGAGTATGGTGCCTGACCTCGGCACAGCAGGGAGCCTGTCCCTCTCTGTCTGGTCGCCCCGACCGCTCTCCAGGTTTCTGATCTGTCTGTCTGTATGCACGTCTCTCCGTCTGTACTTTCACGTGTGTCTGCGTCTGTAAAGATCGGGCTACAGTTCCTGGGACACGCCTCGCGTCTGTCTGTCTCACGAGTCTCCTAGTACTTCCCCAAAAGCAATCCCTAAGAGCACATTCCATTTGGTCACTCCCCGCACATAGGGAATGCTTTCCCCATGTCCAAGTTACCCTATTGTATCCCTCGTCCCCGCCACCTCCAATACCTTGAGGATTTTGTATGTGGTGACTATGTCTCCCCCTAACTTTGCTCTCTCTCTCTTTCAGTGATGTTAGGTTTAACTCCCGGCGCTCAGAGTGCGGCCACTCTGACCCCTGGTGATTGCCTGGTTTGTGAGGCTTGTTGTACTCGCCGCCTGAAGGACCACACAGCCATCACAGCCTGGCTGATCCCCCCGGGATCCCTGCGGTGTTTCAAGTGGGCGTGTTATGTAAATGCGTTTGGATGGACATAAATAGAAGCTGCCTCGTAGGGGTAACTATCTACGTTTTCTATATATCAGAGTTGGTGGGTTAGGTTGGGGGTGCAGGGGTTGTGCGCGTGTCTGCTTGGGTTAGAAGGTTGGGTTGTTGACGTATTGGCCAATCAAGAGAGCTAGCTGGCAGGTACTCACCTAATTGAGTACCAGCCAGCTAGCTCTCTTGATTGGTACACGAGGATGACTGAAATGCTTTTTGTTATATAATTATAATTAATCACTATCCGAATACAATATCTCAGTCATCACTATCCCAACACTCCCAGTCCTTAATACAGCGTTACAACATGATCAATAACAATGTAGGCCTATCCCCCCCCCCCCTGAACCACCACCTTACCTTGAGGTGCTTCCGGGGCTTAGCGTCCCCGCGGCCCGGTCGTCGACCAGGCCTCCTGGTTGCTGGACTGGTCAACCAGGCTGTTATACGCGGCTGCTCGCAGCCTGACGTATGAGTCACAGCCTGGTCACAACCACACTATTAATCTCACCCTCAACCTCGCCTAACCAGAAGCCCAAGCAACCCACCTAACCCAACGCGGCCGATGCTTAGAAAATGGCAGTAGTGCGCTGCTTTAATTTGTACTAATTCGTCGCATTTGCAACGGATTAGTCAATTCCGTAACAAAAAAATGTGACGTAATTAATTGCGTTGAAGAGTAGAGGTGCAACAGGTACTCTGAGAGAGAGAACTATCAACATCAGAGGCCCGAGACTGTTCAACACGCTTCCACTACACATAAGGGGCCTAACTGGCCGACCCCTCACAGTGTTCAAGAGAGAACTATCAACATCAGAGGCCCGAGACTGTTCAACACGCTTCCACTACACATAAGGGACATAACTGGCCGACCCCTCACAGTGTTCAAGAGAGACCTATCAACATCAGAGGCCCGAGACTGTTCAACACGCTTCCGCTACACATAAGGGGCATAACTGGCCGACCCCTCACAGTGTTCAAGAGAGAACTACCAACATCAGAGGCCCGAGACTGTTCAACACGCTTCCACTACACATAAGGGGCATAACTGGCCGACCCCTCACAGTGTTCAAGAGAGAACTATCAACATCAGAGGCCCGAGACTGTTCAACACGCTTCCACTACACATAAGGGGCATAACTGGCCGACCCCTCAGTGTTCAAGAGAGAACTATCAACATCAGAGGCCCGAGACTGTTCAACACGATTCCACTACACATAAGGGGCATAACTGGCCGACCCCTCACAGTGTTCAAAAGAGAACTGGATAAGCACCTCCAAAGGATACCTGATCAACCAGGCTGTGATTCATACGTCAGGCTGCGAGCAGCCGCGTCCAACAGCCTGGTTGACCAGTCCAGCAACCAGCAGGCCCGATCGGGGACCGGGCCGCGGGACCAATGATCCCCGGAAGCTACACAAGGAAATTAGGTGAGAGGACGGGTTGACCCGGGAAGGTTTCCACTATCGCAAGTGAGGAGTAGGTGGGGGGGGGGGGAGTTGGTGAGGGGGGGGAGTTGGTGAGGGGGGGGGGAGTAGGTGAGGGGGGGGAGTAGGTGAGGGGGGGGGAGTAGGTGAGGGGGGGGGTGTAGGAGAGGGGGGGGAGGGTATTGTAGGGGTGAGAAGTGAGACAAACCTCACAAGTGACAGCCCCGCTCCTGTGCCAGGTAAGTCCACTACGGGGATCACCATAGCCCGTGCTACTTGCAACTTTCAGTTCCCAGTAGCTGAATCTTAAACAACAACAGGGCGAGACAAACCTTCCCACCTCCTCCCTCTCCCACGCTAAGGTAGGTAAGACTTGTGCAGGTGCACGGGCTTCCGCCTCCCATAGTAATGACTACAGCCAGCCTCCAGAACACAGCATCTTCATGCCGCAGACAACACACCAGAGATATGAATGAAGCACATTCTAGGAGGGGGGGGGGAGGAGGAGGTGGAGGCCGGCGTGGCCCGGGCCTCCAGTCGGTCAACACCCTCCCCCCCCTCCCATAACTACCATGCATGTACCTACACATTAATGCAGCCACACATCTGCGAGAAGCTACACTTTAAATAATGCAAAAACCAGGGCGACCAAAACGTCTGCCCAGAAGGGAGCTCACGTCCACACATATGAGGCAGCCAGCCAGCCACTCCTTCAGGAGGCATACCTAACTGGATTGTACCTGGATGGGGTTCTAGTTCTACTCCCCAAGCCCGGCCCGAGGCCAGGCTTGACTTGTGTGAGTTTGGTCCACCAGGCTGTTGCTTGGAGCTGCCCGCAGGCCCACATACCCACCACAGCCCGGTTGGTCCGGCACTTCTTGAAGCTATCTAATTTTATCTTGATGTCCACGGTTGTTCCGGCAATAATTCTTATAGTCGCTGGGAGGACGTTGAACAACCGTGGACCTCTGATGTTTATACAGTGTTCTCTGATTGTGCCTATGGCACCTCTGCTCTTCACTGGTTCTATTCTGCATTTTCTTCCATATCGTTCACTCCAGTACGTTGTTATTTTACTGTGTAGAATTGGGACCTGGCCCTCCAGTATTTTTCACGTGATATTATTTGATATCTCTCTCGTCTCCTTTCTAGAGAGTACATTTAGAGGGCTTTGAGACGATCCCAATAATTTAGGTGCTTTATTGCGTCTATGCGTGCCGTATATGTTCTCTGTATTCCCTCTATTTCAGCAATCCCTCCTGCTCTGAAGGGGGAAGTGAGTACTGAGTAGTACTCAAGACGGGACAGCGCAAGTGATTTGAAGAGTACAACTATTGTGATGGGATCCCTGGATTTGAAAGTTCTCGTAATCCATTCTATCATTTTTCTGGCTGACGCAATATTTGCTTGGTAATGCTCCTTAAACGTTAGGTCGTCAGACATCATTATTCCCAAATCCTTGACATGCTGTTTTCCTACTATGGGCAGATTGATTGTGTTTTGTACCCTGTATTATGTTTAAGGTTCTCAATTTTGCCGTATCTGAGTACGTGGAGTTTATCACTGTTAAACATCATGTTATATTATGTTGCCCAGTCAAAAACTTTTTTAATATCTGTTTGCAGCTATTCAGTGTCTTCAGCAGAGGTAATGTTCATGCTGATTTTAGTGTCATCTACAAAGGATGACACGAAGCTGTGACTTGTATTTTTGTCTATATCTGATATGAGAATAAGGAACAGCAGTGGTGCAAGGACTGTACCCTGAGGTACAGAGCTTTTAACTGCATTTGGACTCGATTTTATATGGTTGACTGTTACTCTTTGTGTTCTGTTCGACAGAACATCTAATATCCACCGCCCTACTTGACCAGTTATTCCCATTGACCTCATTTTGTGTGCTAACACTCTATGGTCACATTTATCGAATGCATTTGCAAAGTCCGTGTAAACCACATCTGTATTTTTGCTTTTCTTCTAAGACTTTTGTGATTTTTGTCATAGTGGTTGAGTAACTGTGACAGACAGGATCTTCCCGCTCTAAATCCACATTGTCATTGGTTGTTTAGTTCATTATTTTCCATAAAACTAGAAATTTCCTAATCACTTTCAAAAACTTTTATTATGTGTGATGTTAGTGCAACTGGTCTATAGTTTTGTGCCAAAGCTCTACTACCCCCCCCTTGTGCAGAGGAGCTATATCTGCAGATTTAAGTGCTGCTGGTATCTCCCCTGTATCAAGCTTCTTTCTCCATATTACGCTGAGTGCTCGCGCTACTGGTACTTTACATTTCTTAATGAATATTGAATGCCATGAGTCAGGACCAAGGAGGCTGAGTGAATGGGCATGTTGTCAATTTCTCTTTTCTGAATTGAAAAAACTTTTCTGTCAAAGTTTTCTGAATTCATGTTAATATCCGTTATATTATCTGCAGCTTGGATGTCATTCATAAAGAAGCTGTCTGGATCTTGGAGAGAGTCTTGGAAGTTCTTCTTATCCCCGAGCCCGGCCTGACTTGTGACAATTAGGTCCAACAGGCTGTTGCTTGGAGCACCCAGCCGTCAAAGTTTAGACCAATCCGTAAAAAATGCGACGTTTGAGGTGAGAGGAAGATCTTCAAGAGGAAACTAGATTGTTTCCTCCAAGGAGTGCCGGACCAACCGGGCTGTGGTGGGTATGTGGGCCTGCGGGCCGCTCCAAGCAACAGCCTGGTGGACCAAACTCTCACAAGTCGAGCCTGGCCTCGGGCCGGGCTTGGGGAGTAGAAGAACTCCCAGAACCCCATCAACCAGGTAAGGGTAGTGCAGGGATAGGAGTGTACTATTTAATCGTCCCTAGCCCGTACCCGAGGGCCTGCTGGATCACTTGGACCTGGTGAAGGGTACTCTTGAGATCCTGGCAGAAGAGGATGGTACGTGTGATACCCCTCGGTGGTGGAGGAGGCGGGGCCCAAGAATGTGACCCGTGACCCCCAACTGCAGCAGATGATGGGTCCTAAGCACCATGCAGCGCCCCCAATCAACCCCCACCATCACATCACCAACAATCAGGTAACACTCCGCCCCTTACAAACATCTTGACGAGAGCTCTAAACCTCTCAGACCCACCCAGCCCTCGCCCTCCCCCCCCCCCCCCCACCACCTCCGACTCTATTATGTCGCTTGTTCGCCACCGCTCTACTACCTCCGCCCCCCCCCCAGCAGCTCTATACCTGGCATCTTGTCAAAAGAGGACAGATGTTAAGAAAATAGAGCCTAGAAGCTAGCCACCACTGAACTGTCATACATAGTGGAGTTGAAGGAGTTGGTTACACAAAGAAACCGGTTGGTTGAGGAAGAGAGATTACAGACGAGGGGATAGGCTGGATTTGGAAGTAGCCATAGACAGTATGCCTAGATACTTGCATAACAGGTACTCTGAGAGAGAGAACTATCAACATCAGAGGCCGAGACTGTTCAACACGCTTCCACTACACATAAGGGGCCTAACTGGCCGACCCCTCACAGTGTTCAAGAGAGAACTATCAACATCAGAGGCCGAGACTGTTCAACACGCTTCCACTACACATAAGGGACATAACTGGCCGACTCCTCACAGTGTTCAAGAGAGAACTATCAACATCAGAGGCCCGAGACTGTTCAACACGCTTCCACTACACATAAGGGACATAACTGGCCGACCCCTCACAGTGTTCAAGAGAGAACTATCAACATCAGAGGCCCGAGACTGTTCAACACGCTTCCACTACACATAAGGGACATAACTGGCCGACTCCTCACAGTGTTCAAGAGAGAACAGGATAAGCACCTCCAAAGGATACCTGATCAACCAGGCTGTGATTCATACGTCAGGCTGCGAGCAGCCGCGTCCAAAAGCCTGGTTGACCAGTGCAGCAACGAGGAGGCCTGGTCGAGGACCGGGCCGCGGGGACGTTGAGCCCCGGAATCATCGCAAGGTAAGGTAACCATCATAACATTGCCTAACGCAATCCATCTGTTAGCTACTGATACTGAAATTTTCTTTCCAATGTCTCTGTGGCTCATCTGGGTTACCTTACCTTGAGGTGCTTCCGGGGCTTAGTGTCCCCGCGGCCCGGTCGTCGACCAGGCCTCCTGGTTGCTGGACTGATCAACCAGGCTGTTAAACGCGGCTGCTCGCAGTCTGACGTATGAGTCACAGCCTGGTTGATCAGGTATCCTTTGGAGGTGCTTATCCAGTTCTCTCTTGAACACTGTGAGGGACTATACTATAGGTATAGTATAGTCTGGGTACTATAGGTTTCCACCTGCGTCCCCTTATTTGAGTCCTACCTATGTTAAATACTTTGTTTTTGTCCACCCTGTCAATTCCTCTTAGAATCGTGTAGGTGGTAATCATGTCTCCCCCTTATTCTTCTATCTTCCAGGGGCGTGAGGCTTAGGTCCTGTAGCCTTTCCTCGTAGCTCATACCTCTCAGTTCCGGAACTAGTTTGGTGGCATACCTCTGAATCTTCTCTTAACTTTTGTCTTGTGCTTAAACAGGTACGGACTTCAGGCTGGAGCTGCATACTCCAGGACTGGTCTGACATAAGTGTGACCGTTGCGCCCGCTGCAGAACTATGTGACCGTTGCAATATTAACGTATCCATTAGGACCTTGAGTGTGGCGACGGGCGTGGGGGAACCGGTCCCTCTCTCCCTAAACCAGCGACGGGCGCCTGACTCGCTGGGTACACGCCCTTAGTCCTGTCCTGCTTCCTCACCCTCCTGCACCCTCACTGTCTCCCTCACCCTCCTGCACCCTCACACTGGCTCCCTCACCCTCACCCTCACTGTCTCCCTCACCCTCATGCACCCTCACACTGGCTCCCTCACCCTCACTGTCTCCCTCACCCTCCTGCACCCTCACACTGGCTTCCTCACCCTCCTGCACCCTCACACTGTCTCCCTTACCCTCACTGTCTCCCTCACCCTCCTGCACCCTCACACTGGCTCCCTCACCCTCCTGCACCCTCACCCTCCTGCACCCTCACACTGGCTCCCTCACCCTCCTGCACCCTCACCCTGGCTCCCTCACCCTCACTGTCTCCCTCACCCTCCTGCACCCTTACTGTCTCTCTCACCCTCCTGCACCCTCACTGTCTCCCTCACTGTCTCCCTCACCCTCCTGCACCCTCACTGTCTCCCTCACCCTCCTGCACCCTCACTGTCTCCCTCACCCTCCAGCACCCTCACTGTCTCCCTCACCCTCCTGCACCCTCGCTGTCTCCCTCACCCTCCTGCACCCTCAGGGTCCCATACAACACAGCTGGCGGCCTCAGGGTCCCATACAACACAGCTGGCGGCCTCAGGGTCCCATACAACACAGCTGGCGGCCTCAGGGTCCCATACAACACAGCTGGCGGCCTCGGGGTCCCATACAACACAGCTGGCGGCCTCAGGGTCCCATACAACACAGCTGGCGGCCTCAGGGTCCCATACAACACAGCTGGCGGCCTCGGGGTCCCATACAACACAGCTGGCGGCCTCAGGGTCCCATACAACACAGCTGGCGGCCTCAGGGTCCCATACAACACAGCTGGCTGGGACCCACTGATAACACCACAACCTCGCCATTGACTGCCGGAGAGAACAACATCTAATATTCCGACCCTTATCGTCGCCCCGATAACCCTAGTCTCACTTTTTTGAGGTTATCTTGAGATGATTTCGGGGCTTTAATGTCCCCGCGGCCCGGTCCTCGACCATGCCTGGTTGATACCTGGTTGATGGGGTTCTGGGAGTTCCTCTACTCCCCAAGCCCGGCCCGAGGCCAGGCTCGACTTGTGAGAGTTTGGTCCACCAGGCTGTTGCTTGGAGCGGCCCGCAGGCCCACATACCCACCACAGCCTGGTTGGTCCGGCACTCCTTGGAGGAATAAATCTAGTTTCCTCTTGAAAATGTCCACGGTTGTTCCGGCAATATTTCTTATGCTTGCTGGGAGGACGTTGAACAACCGCGGACCTCTGATGTTTATACAGTGTTCTCTGATTGTGCCTATGGCACCTCTGCTCTTCATTGGTTCTATTCTACATTTTCTTCCATGTCGTTCACTCCAGTACGTTGTTATTTTACTGTGTAGATTTGGTACTTGGCCCTCCAGTATCTTCCAGGTGTATATTATTTGATATCTCTCTCGTCTTCTTTCTAGTGAGTACATTTGGAGGGCTTTGAGACGATCCCAATAATTTAGGTGCTTTATTGCGTCTATGCGTGCCGTATATGTTCTCTGTATTCCCTCTATTTCAGCAATCTCTCCTGCTTTGAAGGGGGAAGTGAGTACTGAGCAGTACTCAAGACGGGACAACACAAGTGCCTTGAAGAGTACAACCATTGTGATGGGATCCCTGGATTTGAAAGTTCTCGTAATCCATCCTATCATTTTTCTGGCTGTCGCAATATTTGCTTGGTTATGCTCCTTAAACGTTAGGTCGTCCGACATTATTATTCCCAAATCCTTTACATGCTGTTTTCCTACTATGGGTACATTTGATTGTGTTTTGTACTCTGTATTATGTTTAAGGTCCTCATTTTTACCGTACCTGAGTACCTGGAATTTATCACTGTTAAACATCATGTTATTTTCTGATGCCCAGTCGAAAACTTTATTAATATCAGCTTGAAGTTTTTCAATGTCCTCAGCCGAGGTAATTTTCATACTGATTTTTGTGTCATCTGCAAAGGATGATACGAAGCTGTGACTTGTATTTTTGTCTATATCTGATATGAGAATAAGGAAAAGCAGTGGTGCAAGGACTGTACCCTGAGGTACAGAGCTTTTCACTGCACTTGGACTAGATTTTATATGGTTGACCGTTACTCGCTGAGTCCTGTTTGACAGAAAACTGAGTATCCAGCGTCCTACTTTACCGGTTATTCCCATTGACTTCATTTTGTGTGCTATCACGCCATGGTCACATTTATCGAAGGCCTTTGCGAAGTCCGTGTATATCACATCAGCATTCTGTTTCTCTTCTAATGCCTCAGTGACTTTGTCGTAGTGCTCAAGTAGCTGTGAGAGGCACGATCTTCCCGCTCGAAATCCATGTTGGCCTGGGTTATGAAGGTCATTGGTCTCCATGAAATTGGTGACCTGACTCCTAATCACTCTCTCAAATACTTTTATGATGTGCGATGTTAGTGCAACTGGTCTATAATTTTTTGCCAATGCTTTGCTCCCTCCCTTGTGTAGAGGGGCTATGTCTGCTACTTTAAGTGCATCTGGTATCTCCCCCGTGTCCAAGCTCTTCCTCCACACTATACTGAGTGCCTGTGCTACCGGCACTTTGCATTTCTTTATGCCTCCACCCCCAGGAAGCAGCCCGTGACAGCTGACTAACACCCAGGTACCTATTTTACTGCTAGGTAACAGGGGCATAGGGTGAAAGAAACTCTGCCCATTGTTTCTCGCCGGCGCCTGGGATCGAACCCAGGACCACAGGATCACAAGTCCAGCGTGCTGTCCGCTCGGCCGACCGGCTCCCTCGACCATGCAAGCTAATTGAGAAAATTGTGTGAAAAAAGCTAGTGGAACATCTGGAGCGAAGGAACTTTTGTCACAACACCAACATGGTTTCAAGGATGGCAGGTCCTGCCTCACAGGATTAATTGAATTCTACGATCAGGCAACAAGTATCAGGCAAGAAAGAGAGGGGTGGGCAGACTGCATATTTTTGGATTGGCAGAAAGCCTTTGGCACAGTGCCACACCAGAGACTAGTGCGAAAGCTGGAGATGCAGGCAGGAGTGAAAGGGAAGGTACTCCATTGGATAAGGGAGTACCTAAGTAACAGAAGACAGCGAGTCACTGTGAGGGGTGAGGCCTCAGATTGGCGCGACGTCACCAGAGGGGTCCCGCAAGGTTCAGTCTTTGGACCCATACTGTTTTTTATATATGTAAATGATCTCCCAGACGGTATAGAATCATTCCTCTCATTGTTTGCTGATGATGCAAAAATTATGAGGAGGATTAAGACGCAGGAAGACAGTATGCGACTACAAGTTGACCTAGACAGACTGCATGAATGGTCCAACAAATGGCTACTAAAGTTCAACCCGAGTATATGTAAGGTAATGAAACTAGGCGGTGGAAACAGGAGGCCAGACACAGGATATGATAGAGCCCAGTAGGCTCAGGAACCTGTACACCAGTTGATTGACAGTTGAGAGGCGAGACCAAAGAGCCAGAGCTCAACCCCCACAAGCACAACTAAGTGAGCACAACTAGGTGAGTTCACATACACATATTAGAGTGGTAGAGCCGTGTGAGAGGAAGGGGCTGCTGCACGGCTGCACCGGACGTGATTCGTACGTCGGGCTGCGACCAGCCGCGTCCAACAGCCTGGTTGACCACTTCAGCAACCAGGAGGCCTGTTCGACGACCGGGCCGCGGGGCCGTTAAGCCACGAAAGCACCTCAAGGTAACCCTTCACACCGGTCCGTCTAATTACCACAAGCTACCACAAACTACACAAACTTCAGAAAGCTTCCTGGCAAGTAATGAATAAATATGATATATTTACTCATTATAATGTTGGTGCTGAATGTACAACACGAAAAAACATAATTTTAATCTGAAAAAGTATCTTTTTATACAGAAATTAGACGAAAATAAAAAGCTGGTGACGCCAAATCAAGTCGACGATCCAAACTTCGGTTAGGTTAGGTTAGGTTGGGTTAGGTTAGGTTAGGTTGGGTTAGGTTAGGTTTGGTTAAGTTAGGTTAGGTTAGGTTAGGATAGGTTAGGTCAGCCTAACTTAATATATCATATTTATTCATTACTAACGTATTGCCAGGAAGCTTTCTGAAGTTTGTGTAGTTTGTGATAGCTTGTGGTAATTAGACGGACCCCTTCACACAGCCAACCCCGAACACCGTGATGGAGAACACCTCAACTTTCGGGGCATTAAGTGCAACAATGCCACCAATATATTAGACAATGTCATAAACAGGTCTAACTGAACACACGTGGTGTAGTGTGGTGGTGTAGTGTGGTGGTGTAGCGTGGTGGTGTAGCGTGGTGGTGGTGTAGTGTGGTAGGGAGTGGGTTTGGGAACCATCATGGCGCCACCGCTCTTGAGGGAGATAGGCAAGGGGAGAGAGAGAGAGAGAGAGACAAAAGGGAGGAAGGGGAGATAGTTAATATCACTACTGGGGCGGTGACCAGTGAGCGCCAACACCCCCTTGGGAAGATACACACCCCCTTGGGAAGGTACACACCCCTTTGGGAAGGTATACACCCCTTTGGGAAGGTACACACACACACACTCACACCTTTGGGAAGGCAAACCCTGGGGTCAGGTCACGGTGCTGCTTCCCCCCCCCCTCTCTGCCTTATCTCCCCCACTACCCTACCAATCCTCCCCTCCCTTGCCCCGTCGGCGCTCCCCAACTCCACGTAACAGCTTGATCTCCTCCTCCAAGCTGAGACTCGAAGCATTATAAGAGTTCCTCCTCCAAAGGTGCTGGACCCGAATCACCTCCTCAGAGCATAGTTACTCGAGTACAAGTACTGGTGTACTCCCCTCACTCCCAGTCCACCAGCTGGCCAGTGTCCCCAGCACCATCTTGACTACTCAACCCCCCAGCACCATCTTGACTACTCAACCCCCCAGCACCATCTTGACTAATCAACACACAGCACCATCTTGACTACTCAACCCCCCAGCACCATCTTGACTACTCAACCCCCC